GCTATTTTAGATAACGTGGTTCAGGAAAACAGCAAAGACCTGAAGGAAGAGATAGAGTCAAGGAGGGAAGACTTGTAGAGCCACAAAGGGGTTAAAGGACCAGGCTTCTCACAGGAGACATAGGCTAGATTTAAAGATAGGGTCCGATTTGGAGAAGCAAACAGCAAAGGCTGCCAGAGAATGTCCCAAGACATCTGGACACAGTCTGACACGCCACACAGAGTCACTTTTATTCGGTGAATGTGTATTGTGGTGCCTCCCATGTGCCGGTATGGGGTCTAGGCACAGGGAGAGACCAGTGAACAAAAGTGTTCCTGACCTCCTGGGGTATAGATTTCTGTGTGTCTTGGGCTTGCACACAGGAATCATGTGACTGTAAATAAATCTATTATACATGGCCCAACAAGGCGGCTCATGCCTGTAATCCCAGCAGTTTGGGAGGCTGAGGCAAGCAGATCACTTGAGGTCAGGAGTTCAATACCATCCTGGCCAACATGGCGAAACCCTGTCTCTACTAAAAATACAAAAAATTAGCCGGGCATGGTGGTGGTACCTGTGAATCCAGCTACTCAGCAGGCTGAGGCAGGAGAATTGCTTGAACCCAGGAGGTTGCAGTGAGCTGAGATCATGCCACTGCACTCCAAAAATAAATAAATAATAAAGGCTGATCTGCTTATGGAATAGCCATTCTTTTGTTTTGTTACTTCTCTAATAAACTTGCTCTCACTTTCAAAGTAAAATAAAATAAAATATATATATATAAATAAAAATAAGGCCAGGCACAGTGGCTCATGCCTGTAATCCTAGCACTTTGGGAGGCCAAGGCAGGTGGATCACGAGGTCAGGAGATTGAGACTATCCTGGCTAACATGGTGAAACCCTGTCTCTACTAAAAATACAAAACAAAAAAATTAGTTGGCATGGTGGCATGCGCCTGTAGTCCCACCTATTCGAGAGCCTGAGGCAAGAGAATCATTTGAACCTGGGAGGCGGAGGTTGCAGTGAGCCGAAATTGTGCCATTGCACTCCAGCCTGGGCGACAGAGGGAGACTCTGTCCCAAAAAAGAAGAAAGTAAAAATTAAAATTAAAAATCCAAATCTATAGTATATCTACTGGTGATAAAGGATATGAAGAAAAGTAAAGCAGACTAAGGGAGCTATAGTGGAGAAGAAGAGATACTATTTTAGATAAGGTTGTTCAGGAAACAGCAACTCCTGAAGGAAGAGATAGAATCAGACAGAGATCAGGGGAATGTGACCCAGAGGGGCAGGTGCAGACGCTCCGAGGCACAAGGGCTGAACTCGGTGATGGAGATGAGATTAGAAAGGGGTCAGGGGCCAGATCAAAGGTCTTGGAGACCTTTGGGGAGAACCTTGGTTCTATGGATCGAATGTCCCTGCCAAAACTCATGTTGAAATAAAAAGAAATTTCATTTTGCATCTGAGTCACAGCACCAAAAACTAAAAAAATTTAAAAAATAAATGTAATTTCTACTGTCTTAAGAGTTGGGGCTTTTTTTTTCTTTGAGACTGGGTTTCACTCTGTCACTAGGCTGGAGTGCAGTGGCTTGATCTTGGCTCACAGCAGCTTCAACTGCCTGGACTCAAGCAGTCTTCTTCCTTGGCCTCCTGAGCAGCTGAAACTACAGGTGTGTGCCACCATGCCTGGCTAAGGAGTCTGTCATCCAGGCTGGAGTGCAGTGTCGTGATCTTGGCTCACTACAACCTCCACCTTCTGGGATCAAGAGACTCTCCTGCCTCAGCCTCCCAAGTAGCTAGGATTACAGGAATTTGCCACCATGCCTGGCTAATTTTGTATATATATATATTTTTTTTTGAGACGGAGTTTCACTCTTGTTACCCAGGCTGGAGTGCAATGGTATGATCTCGGCTCACTGCAACCTCCACCTTCTGGGTTCAGGCAATTCTCCTGCCTCAGCCTCCTGAGTAGCTGGGATTACTACCATGCCCAGCTAATTTTTGTATTTTTAGTAGAGACAGGGTTTGACCATATTGACCAGGCTGGACTCGAACTCCTGACCTCAAGCGATAACACCCGCCTCAGCCTCCCAAGTGCTACCATTACAGGCCATGAGCCAACACACCCAACCCTGTCATTTTTAAAAGATCATTTCAACAGCACTGTGGTTTTTTTCTTCTGCTGCTGCTGCTGCTGCTGGGCAAGAGTGGAATCAGGAAACCTAGTTAGGAGGCTACTGCAATAATTCAAGGGAAAGATGACAGTGTGCGAGGGTGATTTCTGAATATGCTTTGATGATAAAAGTAGAGCTGTCAGTATTTGCTGATGAAATGGTTGAAAGAGGAGAGAGGGCCGGGCGCCATGGCTCACGTCTGTAATCCCAGCACGTTGGGAGGCCAAGGCAGGTGGATCACAAGGTCAAGAGATCAAGACCATCCTGGTCAACATGCTGAAACCCCGTCTCTACTAAAAATACAAAACATCAGCTGGGCATGGTGGCGCGTGCCTGTAGTCCCAGCTACTCAGGAGGCTGAGGCAGGAGAACTGCCTGAACCCAGGAGGCGGAGGCTGTGGTGAGCCGAGATCGTGCCATTGCACTCCAGCCTGGGTAACAAAAGCGAAAGTCCGTCTCAAAAAAAAAGAAAGAAAGAAAGAAAGGAAAGAAAGAAAGAGGAGAGAGACTGGAGTCAAGGCCTACTCCATAGATTTTAAAATGAGTATTGGGAAAAATGGAGTTGTCATTAAAGTAGGGAAGACTGGGGAGGAGCTGTCAAGAGCACTGGAAATCTGGAACTGGGGTTTGGACACATGAAATCATTGCATCAAGTGGAAATGTATCCAGTAGGCAGTGGAGATACAGACCCGGCGTTTGTGGGAGCCAGTGGGTTGAAGGCATGTAAGGGTTTCATGCTTGGGGAGTTAGCACGTAAGTGATACTGGAAGTCATGGGACGGCACAGGATTATTAACAGTGTGAGTATTCACAAGTTCGGAAAAAAAAGTATGAATGTATGGAAGAGAGGGGTCACTCTGTCTCTTATTATCCCACCCACTGGGGTGACCCTGTGAGCCACACCACACAGGTACATACACACACAGACACGTACACACACTGTCACAGAAGGGCAAAGGGGGTTGGCGAGAGCTACACAGAGCAGATCCTATTGCTTCAGAAACCCATGCCGCCTGCGCCCCTTCCCTGTGGCCTTCCTGGGTGCTGTAGGGACAGCAGATCCCTCTGGGCCAGCAGGGCAAGGAGACTGGCAGGAGGAGCTGGCTGCGAGGCCTCTTGAGAGCAGGGGCAGGCAGAGAAGAACCTCATCCAGAAGCAGGGGTGGGGCAGGTCCGGATGGAGTGCCTGCCTCCTTCCCCCACTGCCCCACACAAAGCTCCAAGAACTCCAGCAGGCTCCTGTCTGTTTCCACTCCTCAGGCTTTCTGTAGTCATGTCCCTGCCCACTCCAAAGGCCATCCCCCTCACCCTTCCCTCCCTCTCAGACCCAGCTGAATCCCTCCCTGGGTACTGCCCCCTCCTGGGGCACTCCTGCCCCCTTCCTCTGCTTGCATCCTCACCTAGCCTCTTATCTGTTCACTCTTTCTCCCCTGCACCAGAGCTCCACAGAAGCTAAGAGAGTGGCTCTACAGCCCTACTGGCCCCTATCAATGACTCCTGCCACCCTGGGACCTTCCCCTGGGCTCAGAAAGGACAGGCCACTGTAGCAAACCAGCCAGGCCTATAGCCCCAGCTGGACCTCCTGGTGAGGCAGCTTCCCAGAGAGTGGAGATCCTTCAGTCCTCTGGGCAGAGCAGGGTGAGCGGGGCCGTCTCCCTTTGATTCATTTAGCCCTCTTTCGTCTTTACACGTTTGTGAAATGTGACAGTAGTCATACTGCTATTCGTTCTAAGAGTCCTTGCTGGCTATTAAGACCTGTATGCTAGCACTCTCAGGCATTATCTCAACCCTTACTAAAACCCATTAGATAGGTATTTTTATAACCATTTTACAGATAAGAAAGACTATAAGGGCCGGACATGGTGGCTCAGGCCTGTAATCCCAGCACTTTGGGAGGCTGAGGAGAGTGGATCACTAAGGCCAGGTGTGGTGGGTTACACCTGTAATTTCAGCAGTCTGGGAAACTGAGGTAGCCAGATCACAAGGTCAGGGGTTCAAGATCAGCCTGGCCAATAGGGTGAAACCCTGTCTCTACTAAAAATACAAAAATTAGCTGGGTGTGGTGGCATGCCTGTAGTCCAGCTACCAGAGAAGCTGAGGCAGAAGAATCGCTTGAACCCGACAGGTGGAGGTTGCGTGAGCTGAGACTGCACCACTGCACTCCAGCCTGGGCAACAGAGCGAGATTCCATCCCCTCTCCCCCAGAAAAAAAGCCAGGTGTGGTGGCTCATGCCTGTAATTTCAGCACTTGGGAAGCCGAGGAGGGCAGATCATGAGGTCAGGAATTTGAGACCAGCCTGGCCAATATGGTGAAACCCCATCTCTACTAAAAATTCAAAATTTAGCTGGGCGTGGTGGCACATGCCTGTGATCCCAGTTACTCGGAAGTCTGAGGCAGGAGAATCGCTTGAATCCTGGAGGTGGAGGTTGCAGTGAGCCAAGGTTCACTCCAGCCTGGGTAACAAGAGTGAAACTGTGGATCAAAGAATAATTTAAAAAAAAAAAAGACTCGAGGAAAGCAAGTAATGTGCCTGAGGTCTCCTGGCTAATGTGGTCCAGGTCACAACCTGACTCTACCCAACCCAGGTCCCACCTAACTCCTCCTGCAGATGCCCTTTGGGTATCCAGAGACTATGTCTGGACTTGGCTGTGGACTTGAGGGGTGACCCTGGGCTGGCTTCTTTCTGGACCTCAGTTTCTGAACCTCAGTTTCTGAGTTGGTCGGTTGGTCAGTTGATTGGATTGATTGATTGACAGGGTCTCACTCTGTAGCCAAGGCTGGAGGGCAGTGGCCTGATCATGCTCCCCGCAGCTTCCAACCCCTGAGCTCAAGGAATGATGCCACTGTGGTCATTTTAAAGTGTTTTATTTTTGTAGAGATGGCGGGGGGGGGGGTGGTCTCACTATCTTGCTCAAGCTGGTCTCGAACTCTTGGGCTCAAGCGATCCTCCTGCCTCCACATCCCAAAGTGCTGTGATTACAGGCGACAGCCATCGCACATAGTCGCGCAGGTATACCGGGCTAAGGCGATCGGTCTTAATTCGCCATCCACAGCCGCCACTGCTGCCTTATCCCTAGGGACCACACAGACCCAGGGGACAAAGGAGGGCGCAAGACAGCGACTGAGGGAGCCTCTACTGCGGGGCGGCCAGAGTATCACCGAGCTCAGGGTCCCCCACCCCACCGGCCCCGGCCCCGGCCTCGGCCTCTGCTGGCTCTTTGGGGAACACATTGCGGTGCATGGCGGCGACGTAACTGGAGCCGCTGGGGTCGTCCAGGCGCATCTGCTGCAGGGGCAGGAAGCGCTCGGTGGTGAAGTAGCGCAGGGCCGGCTTCGGGGCGCGCAGAGCGGTGAGGAAGACCTGAGGCGGCGGGAAGGGAGCTCTGGCCCCGGCTGTGCACCGGAGGGCGCACCGTCCCTGCTCCGCTCCCAGAGTCCGGCCCTGCGCTCACCTCCACCACCTCCTCCGGGTGCTGCGCGGCCTCGCGGAAGATCTCTTTGTTGTGCTGGAGGTATTGGTGGAAGAGGCGGCGGGTCCGGGTGTCCGTGCGGTCCAGCATCCAGCCGGGGCCGCCCAACACCTTCTGCATGAAGGGCGTGTGCACCGGGCCGCACTCGATCAGGCTCACGCTGTCGGCCAGAGAGCGGCAAGTGGGCAGGGGCGACGCGAGCCAGGCGCCAGCCCCAGCCCCGGCCCGGGCCCCAGCCCCATTCATAGCCCGGACCCCGACCCCGCCGCTGAGCAGCACCACTGTACCACGAAGCGAGGCAGAAAGGGCGCTGGGAATAACCAGAGCATTTGAAAAGCGCGTTCCTGCCCGAGCAGCCCTCCCACATCCATCTGAGCATGCGAGGGAGCCCTGGTGTCAGGATTTGACTCTGGCGGGGTCCCTGGCCGCTGTGCGACCTCGGGTGGGTCACCTAACCTCTCTGGGCCCAAGCTTCTGCATGACAATACCGACATTTCAGCAGCCAGGTCAGCAGATGGCACAACGCATGCCATGCGCCCAGCCCAAGTGCCTGGCACACAGCAAATGTAAACCGGGCAGGGAGGGTCGGGGATATCACCCCAGAGTGGCTCCCGCAAGACGGGGTGCTTGGAGTCTCTAGATCAGAGTTCAGGGGGTTCGCGGGGCGAGGGGAAGAGGGTGTTTACTCACTGGACCCCAAAGGGCGGCAGCAGAACCGCCAGACTCTCACATAAGCCTTCCAGCGCAAACTTGCTGGCGCAGTAAACGTCATTGAAGGGCAGACCTTGGTGGTGGGAGAAGAGGTTCCTGAGGCTCAGCGACCAGGGGGCCATCCCCAGGCAGACGGTACCCCTCCAAGCTGACTGCCCCTCCCCGCAGAGCCTGCCTTCAAGGCTCAGCTCCGCCCGTGAAGAATCTGGAGCTGCAGCCCTGTACCTGCCACTCACCCATCAGTCCTCCCATGCTCCCGGTCACCAACACGCGACCGGAACCGCGCCGCTTCATCTCTGGCAGGAAGGCCTGCAGCATCCGCACCGTCCCTGCCACATTCACATCCAGCACAGAGCCCACGGCGTCCTCCCCCAGCGCCTCCAGCGGCCCCAGCAGGCCCTGGCCCGCGTTACACACTGCGGAGACAGAGGCCGGAGCAGCCTCAGCATCACCCTCAGCCCCACCTGTGCCCTCATGCTCCCTGCGCCTCGGGACATGGTGGTTTGAACACAGGGTAAAGAAGGCTCCTAGGAGCCCAAGTGTTTCTGGAGGCTCACCCAGTATGTCCACGCGGCCCTCGGTCACGCATGCCTGGGCATTGGCCACGGATTTTGAGTCCCTTACGTCCAGCTGCAATGTCTCCAGGGAGTCCCGAGGGCACCCCTGGGCCCTGGCTGCCTCCCACAGCTGGCCCTGTGTTTTCAGGTCCCTCATGGTGGCGTACACTGGAGGTTAGGGGAGAGGAGAAAGATCTGACTTCCCTTCTGACCTCCAAGGGCTCCTCCCTTCTCTCCATCCCTGTCCCTACCTATCTATACCTTTGAAGCTCTGAGATGGGTCCGACGCCAGTCGTACGGCCAAGTGTAGGCCGATGCCTGAGGAACAGCCAGTGATCAGCACCACTGTGCAAGCCATGGTGAGACTCTGGGGAGAGGCTGGGGCTCTGGGCTGGATATCACCTGCTCCGCCCCACCCTGCCTGCGGGCCCCCACCTCTTGTTGTGTCTCCCACGCAATCTCAAGGATAAGCCCTCCTGCGGGTCCCTGGCCTGCTCTCCCCACCCTGTTCTGAGTCAAAACAGACAAGAGCCCACTGCTTGGAACACCAAACTGTCCTGGTTGCTGCTCAGAGGGAGGGAAGGCTTTACAAGCAGGTGTGGGTTCCCATGTGGGCACAGACTGGCACCCCGAGCAGATTCCCCTGGGCATGCCTCTGGGCCACAGGAGCAATGACAGTGACTGGAGTTTGCTGCAGAGGCTGTGAAAGGAAAGGCATTGGGAGGTTGGAGTTGATTGTATATATGTTGGTTTCGTCCACAGTTCCTAGCTCATAACTCACATGACCATGGTTACGATCTTTCACTGTAATCTTGGGGCGCCTCAGGACTCAGAAAATAGCCTCTCCTCTTCCGACCTTCTCGTGTCCTCTTTTCACCTGCCCAAGGCAGGACTCTAATCTGATGTGGGTTGTAGGATCCTCATTCCAGAGTGGGTCCTTGCCCCACACCATGGAGAAAGGAATGCTGCACAAAGGCCGGAAGAATCTGGACCGGCCTTGCTGGGCTTAGATCAGATACTTTTTGTCCAAACACATTTTGACAGTTGTCCATGCTTCAATCATGAAGCCAACGAAGTTCTCCATAAAGGCCCAAAGGACAGGCTTCGGGGAGCTTCTGGGAGCCGAAGGTGTGGAGGCTGAGGGGAAGGTGAAGAACTTATCTGTGTGCCCAGAGGGTGATGTAACCCTAGCTCTATGGAGATAGAAGCTCCAGCTCTGGACCCTTCCAGGCCCCCCTGTCTGCATCTCTTCATATGGCTGTTTATTTCTATCCTTTAAAATATCCTTCGAGGCTGGGCACAGTGGCTCATGCTATGATGCCAGCAATTTTGGAGGCTGAGGCAAGGGGATTGCTCAAGCCCAGGAGGTCAAGACCAACTAGGGCAACAGAGTGAGACCTGTCTCTGCAAAAAATACAAAAAAATTTACCTGGGCATGATGGGGTGTGCCTGGAGTCCCAGCTACTTGGGAGGGTGGAGTATTGAGGCAAGAGAATAGCTTGAGCTGGGCCAGTGGCAGGGGTTGGGGACAATCAAGGCTACAGTGAGCCGAGATTGTGTCACTGCACTCCAGGCTGGGTAACAGAGCCAGACCCTACCACTGCACTCACTCTAGTTGACAGAGTAGAACCCTGTCTCCAAAAAAAAAAAAAAAAGAATAAAGAAAAAACATTTTCCTCCATAATAAACCAGTAAACATAATAAGAGTTTCCCAGGCCGGGCACGGTGGCTCACGCCTATAATCCCAGCATTTTGGGAGGCCGAGGCGGGTGGATCATGAGGTCAAGAGATCAAGACCATCCTGGCCAACATGGTGAAACCCTGTCTCTACTAAATATAAAAAATTAGCTGGGCATGGTGGCACGTGGCTGTAATCCCAGCTACTTGTGAGGCTGAGACAGGAGATTCATTTAAACCCAGGAGGCAGAGGTTGCGGTGAGCCGAGAATGTGCCATTGCACTCCAGCCTGGGCAACAAGAGCGAAACTCCGTCTCAAAAAAATAAATAAATAAATAAATAAACAGGGATGTGGCCGGCCAAAGTGACTCACACTTGTAATCCCAGCACTTTGGGAGGCCACCCCATGTGAATCACTTGAGATCAGGAGTTCAAGACTAGTCTGGCCAAGATGGTGAAACCCCATCTCTATTAAAATTACAAAAATTAGCCTGGCATGGTGGCACACACCTAGCTATGTGGTAGGTTGAGACAGGAGAATTGTTTGAACCTGGGAAACAGAGGTTGCAGTAAGCCAAGATCGCACCACTGAACTCTAGCCTAGATGATAGAGCAAGACTACGCTTCAGGAAAAAAAAAAATTAGCCAGGCATGGTGGCATGCCTGTAGTCTCAGCTGCTCGGGAGGCTGAGGAAGGAGACTCTCTTGAACCTGGGAGGTGGAGATTGCAGTGAGCCGAGATTGCCACACTGCACTCCAGCCTGGTAACAGAGCAAGACTCCGTCTCAAAACAAAAACAAAAACAATAAACCAATGGAGCTTCTGCTGCAGGTCTAAGGTAGGGCCTGAGATTTGCTGTCTCAGCTCAGGGTGCTGCTGCTGCTGGTTTTGGGTCACACTTGGAGCAGCGCTCAAGAAAGCTGGCAGGAGTGGAAATCTGTAATTGGGGTTTCCAGAAGTTCACTGCATCAAGTGGAAATGTATCTAGTAGGCAGTGGAGATACAGACCCGGCGTTTGTGGGAGCCAGTGGGTTGAAGGCATGTAAGGGTTTCATGCTTGGGGGTTATCGGCACATAAGTGGTATTGAAAGTCATGGGACGGCACAGGATTATTAACAGTGTGAGTATTCACAAGTTCGGAAAAAAAAGTATGAATGTATGGAAGAGAGGGGTCACTCTGTCTCTTATTATCCCACCCACTGGGGTGACCCTGTGAGCCACACCACACAGGTACATACACACACAGACACGTACACACACTGTCACAGAAGGGCAAAGGGGGTTGGCGAGAGCCACACAGAGCAGATCCTATTGCTTCAGAAACCCATGCCACCTGTGCCCCTTCCCTGTGGCCTTCCTGGGTGCTGTAGGGACAGCAGATCCCTCTGGGCCAGCAGGGCAAGGAGACTGGCAGGAGGAGCTGGCTGCGAGGCCTCTTGAGAGCAGGGGCAGGCAGAGAAGAACCTCATCTGGAGGCGGAGGCGGGGGCAGGTCAGGGTGGAGTGCCTGCCTCCTTCCCCCTACAAAGCTCCAAGAGTTCCAGCAGGCTCCTGTCTGTTTCCACTTCCCAGGCTTTCTGTGGTCATGTCCCTGCCCACTCCAAAGGGCCATCCTCCTCACCCTTCCCTCCCTCCCAGCCCCAGCTGAATCCCTCCCTGGGTACTGCCCCCTTCCTCTTCCTGCATCCTCACCTCCTCACCTAGCCTCTTATTTATTTATTTATTTATTTATTTATTTTTTGAGACGGAGTTTCACTCTTGTTACCCAGGCTGGAGTGCAATGGCGCGATCTCGGCTCACTGCAACCTCCGCCTCCTGGGTTCAGGCAATTCTCCTGCCTCAGTCTCCTGAGTAGCTGGGATTACAGGCACGCACCACCGTGCCCAGCTAATATTTTTGTATTTTTAGTAGAGATGGGGTTTCACCATGTTGACCAGGATGGTCTCGATCTCTTGACCTCGTGATCCACCCACCTCGGCCTCCCAAAGTGCTGGGATTACAGGTGTGAGCCACCACGCCCAGAAACCTAGCCGGTTCACTCTTCCTCCCCTGCACCAGAGCTCCAAAGAAGCTAAGAGAGTAGCTCTACAGCCCTACTGGCCCCTATCAATGACTCCTGCCAACCTGGGACCTTCCCCTGGGCTCAGAAAGGACAGGCCACTGTAGCAAACCAGCCAGGCCTATAGCCCCAGCTGGACCTCCTGGTGAGGCAGCTTCCCAGAGAGTGGAGATCCTTCAGTCCTCTGGGCAGAGCAGGGTGAGCGGGGCCATCTCCCTTTGATTCATTTAGCCCTCTTTCTTCTTTACACGTTTGTGAAATGTGACAGTAATCATACTGCTATTCGTTCTAAGAGTAGAACGAATATGTTTGATTAATGTACTTCTGACTCCCACTGGAATTTTATTTAACCTATATTATATATACCATAATACCTTTCTAAAATCTGAAATATTTTGAATTCCAAAACATAACTGCCTCAACACTGTTAGATAAGGGTATATGGATCTGTATTATTACCTTCATTGTACAGATGAGGAAACTGAGGCATAGAGCAATTAAATAGGCTGCCCAGAGCTACACAGAAGTAGAGTCGATGGCCCAGGTATGGTGGCTCATGCCTGTAATCCCAGCACTTTGGGAGGCTGAGGCTGGTGGATCACCTGAGGTCAGGAGTTGAAGACCAGTCAGGCCAACATGATGAAACCCCATCTCTACTAAAAATACAAAAATTAGCTAAGCATGGTGACAAGTGCCTGTAATGCCAGCTACTCGGGAGGCTGAGGCAGGAGAATTGCTTGAACCAGGGAGGCAGAGGTTGTAATGAGCCCTGATCACACCATTGCACTACAGCCTGGGCAACAAGAGTGACACTCTGACTCAAAAAAAAAAAAGAAAGAAAGAAAAGACTCAGAGAAAGCAAGGAACGTGCCTGACTGAGTTCTTCTGGCTAATGGGGTCCAAGTCACAACCTGACTCTACCCAACCCAAGTCCCACCTAACTCCTCCTGCAGATGCCCTTTGGGTATCCACAGGCTATGTCTGGACTTTGCTATGGACTTGAGGGTTGACCCTGGGCTGCCTTCTTTCTGGACCTCAGTTTCTGACTTGGTCCGTTGGTTAGTTGGTTGATTTGATTGATGGACTGACAGGTCTCACTCTGCCGCCAAGGCTGGAGTACAGTGGCCCGATCATGCTCCCTGCAGCCTTCAACTCCTGAGCTCAAGGAATGATGCCACAGTGGTCATTTTTGTAGAAATAAGGGTCTCACTATGTTGCTCAGGCTGGTCTCGAACTCCTGGGCTCAAGCAATCCTCCTGCCTCCACATCCCAAAGTGCTGTGATTACAGGCGACAGCCATCGCACATAGTCGCGCAGGTATACCGGGCTAAGGCGATCGGTCTTAATTTGCCATTCACAGCCGCCACTGCTGCCTTATCCCTAGGGACCACACAGACCCAAGAGACAAAGGAGGGTGCAAGACAGCGGCTGAGGGAGCCTCTACTAAGGGGTGGCCAGAGCACGGCCGAGCTCAGGGTCCCCCACCCCACCGGCCCCGGCCCCGGCCTCGGCCTCTGCGGGCTCTTTGGGGAACACATTGCGGTGCATGGCGGCGACGTAACTGGAGCCGCTGGGGTCGTCCAGGCGCATCTGCTGCAGGGGCAGGAAGCGCTCGGTGGTGAAGTAGCGCAGGGCCGGCTTCGGCGCGCGCAGAGCGGTGAGGAAGACCTGAGGCGGCGGGAAGGGAGCTCTGGCCCCGGCTGTGCACCGGAGGGCGCACCGTCCCTGCTCCGCTCCCAGAGTCCGGCCCTGCGCTCACCTCCACCACCTCCTCCGGGTGCTGCGCGGCCTCGCGGAAGATCTCTTTGTTGTGCTGGAGGTATTGGTGGAAGAGGCGGCGGGTCCGGGTGTCCGTGCGGTCCAGCATCCAGCCGGGGCCGCCCAACACCTTCTGCATGAAGGGCGTGTGCACCGGGCCGCACTCGATCAGGCTCACGCTGTCGGCCAGAGAGCGGCAAGTGGGCAGGGGCGACGCGAGCCAGGCGCCAGCCCTAGCCCCGGCCCCAGCCCCAGCCCGGGCCCGGGGCCCCAGGTCGGCCCGGTGCCCAGCCCCATTCATAGCCCGGACCCCGACCCCGCCGCCGAGCAGCACCACTGCACCGCGAAGTGAGGCAGAAAGCTCGCTGGGAATAACCAGAGCATCTGAAAAGTGGGTTCCTGCCCGAGCAGCCCTCCTACATCTATCCGAGCCTGTGAGGGAGCCCTGGTGTCAGGATTTGACTCTGGTGGGGTCCCTGGTCACTGTGTGACCTCGGGTCGGTGCGCTAACCTTTCTGGGCCCAAGCTTCCGCATGACAATACCGACACTTCAGCAGCCAGGTCAGCAGATGGCACAACGCATGCCATGCGCCCAACCCAAGTGCCTGGCAAACAGCAAATGTGAACCGGGCAGGGAGGGTCGGGGATATCGCCCCAGAGTGGCTCCCGCAAGACGGGGTGCTTGGAGTCTCTAGGTCAGAGTTCAGAGGGTTTCCGGGGCAGGGGAAGGGGATGTTTACTCACTGGACCCCAGCAGAACCTCCAGACTCTCGCATAAGCCTTCCAGAGCAAACTAGCTGGCGCAGTAAACGTCACTGAAGGGAGACCTTGGTGGTTCCCGAGGCTCAGCAGCCAGGGGGCCATCCCCAGACAGACGGCGCCCCTCCAAGCTGACTGCCCCACCCCGCAGAGCCTGCCTTCAAGGCTCAGCTCCACACTCGAAGAATCTAGAGCTGCGGCCCTGTACCTGCCATTCACCCATCAGTCCTCCCATGCTCCCGGTCACCAACATGCGCCCCGAACCGCGCAGCTTCATCTCTGGCAGGAAAGCCTGCAGCATCTGCACCTTCCCTGCCACGTTCACATCCAGCACAGAGCCCATGGCGTCCTCCCCCAGCGCCTCCAGCGGCCCCAGCAGTTCCTGGCCCGCGTTACACACTGTGGGGACTGAGGCTGGAGCAGCCTCAGCATCACCCTCAGCCCCGCCTGTGCCCTCGTGCTCCCTGGGCTTTGGGACTTGGTGGTTTGAACGCAGGGTAAAGAAGGCTCCTAGGAGCCCAAGTGTTTCTGGAGGCTCACCTAGTATGTCCACGCGGCCCTCGGTCACGCATGCCTGGGCATCGACCACAGATTTTGAGTCACTTACGTCCAGCTGCAACGTCTCCAGGGAGTTCTGAGGGCACCCCTGGGTGCTGGCTGCCTCTCACAGCTGGCCCTGTGTTTTCAGGTCCCTCATGGCGGCGTACACTGGAGGTTAGGGGAGAGGAGGAAGATCTGACTTCCCTTCTGGCCTCCAAGGGCTCCTCCCTTTTTTGTTTTCTTGAGACGGAGTTTCACCCTTTTTGCTCAGGCTGGAGCGCAGTGGCGCGATCTCGGCTTACTGCAACCTCCGCCTCCCCGGTTCAAGCGATTCTCCTGCCTCAGCCTCCCAAGTAGTTGGGACTACAGGTGTGCACCACCATGTCCAGCTAATTTTTGTATTTTTAGTAGAAATGCATTTCACCATGTTGGCTACAATGTTCTCCAGCTCTTGACCTCATGATCTGCCCACTTTGGCCTCCCAATGTACTGGGCTTACAGGCGTGAACCACCACACCCAGCCGGCTCCTCCCTTACCTCCATCCCTGTCCCTCCCTATCTATACCTATGAAGTTATGTGATGGGTCCAATGCCAGGCTGGAGTGCACTGGTGCGATCTCACCAAGTGCAGGCTGATGCCGGAGGAACAGCTGGTGATGAGCACCATGGTGTGGACCATGGTGAGACTGTGGGGAGAAGCTGGGGCTCTGTGCTGGGAAGGAGGGGGTGGTCTCATGGGTCTGCTCCGCCCCACCCCGCCCGCGGGCCCCCACCTCTTGTTGTGTCTCCCACGCAATCTCAAGGATAAGCCCTCCTGCGGGTCCCTGGCCTGCTCTCCCCACCCTGTTCTGAGTCAAAACAGACAAGAGCCCACTGCTTGGAACACCAAACTGTCCTTGTTGCTGCTCAGAGGGAGGGAAGGCTTTACAAGCAGGTGTGGGTTCCCATGTGGGCACGGACTGGCGCCCTGGGCAGATTCCCCTGGGCATGCCTCTGGGCCACAGGAGCAATGACAGTGACCGGAGTTTGCTGCAGAGGCTGTGAAAGGAAAGGTGGGGGTCAGGCGCGGTGGCTCACACTGTAATCCCAGCACTTTGGGAGGCCGAGGCGGGTGAATCACAAGGTCAAGAGATCAAGACCATCCTGGTCAACATGGTGAAACCCCGTCTCTACCAAAAATACAAAAAATTAGCTGGGCATGGTGGTGCGTGCCTGTAATCCCAGCTACTCAGGAGGCTGAGGCAGGAGAATTGCCTGAACCCAGGAGGTGGAGGTTGCGGTGAGCCGAGATCGCGCCATTGCACTCCAGCCTGGGTAACAAGAGCGAAACTGTCTCAAAAAAAAAAAAAAAAAAGAAAGAAAGGAAAGGCATTGGGAGGTTGGAGTTGATTGTATATATGTTGGTTTCGTCCACAGTTCCTAGCTCATAACTCACATGACCACGGTTACAATCTTTCACTGTAATCTTGGGGCGCCTCGGGACTCAGAAAACAGCCTCTCCTCTTCCGACCTTCTCGTGTCCTCTTTTCACCTGCCCAAGGCAGGACTCTAATCTGATGTGGGTTGTAGGATCCTCATTCCAGAGTGGGTCCTTGCCCCACACCATGGAGAAAGGAATGCTGCACAAAGGCCGGAAGAATCTGGACCGGCCTTGCTGGGCTTAGATCAGACCCTTTTTGTCCAAGCATTTTCACAGTTGTCCATGCTTCAATCATGAAGCCAACGAAGTTCTCCATAAAGGCCCAAAGGACATGGTTCTGGGAGCCGAAGGTGTGGAGGCTGATGGAAAGGTGAAGAACTCATCTGTGTGCCCAGAGGGTGATGTAACCCTAGCTCTACGGAGACAGAAACTCCAGCTGTGGACCCTTCCAGGGCCCCCTGTCTGCATCTCTTCATACGGCTGTTTCCTTTTTTTTTTTTTTTTTTGAGATGAAGTCTCACTCTGTCACCCAGGCTGGAGTGCAGTGGTACAATCTCAGCTCACTGCAACATCAGCCTCCTGGGTTCAAGCGATTCTCCTGCCTCAGCCTCCCAAGTAGCTGGGACTACAGGCGCATGCCACCACACCCAGATAATTTTTGTATTTTTAGAAGCAACGGGGTTTCCATGATGGCCAGGATGGTCTTGATCTCTTGACCTCATGATCCACCTGACTCGGCCTCCCAAAGTGCTGGGATTATAGGCGTGAGCCACTACACCCAGCCCATATGGCTGTTTATTTCTATCCGTTAAAATATCCTTCAAGGCTGGGTGACTCATGCCTGTAATCTCAGCACTTTTGGAGGCTGAGGCAAGGGAACTGCTAGAGCCCAGGAGTTCAAGACCAGTCAGGGCAACAGAGGGAACCCACATCTCTGCAAAAAATACAAAAAACTTAGCTGGGCATGGTGGTGTGTGCCTGGAGTCCCAGCTACTGGGGGTGGGTGGGGTGCTGAGGCCAGGGGGTGGAGGGGAAATCGAGGCTGTCTCAAAAAAAAATTTTTTTCTTAAAAAAAGAAAAAAAAAATCCTCCCTAATAAACCAGTACACATAATAATGGTTTTCCTGTGTTTTGTGGGCCACTGTAGCAAATTAGTTAAATCCAAAGAGGGGAAGGGGGCCATGGAAACTCCAACTTGAAGCCACTCCATCAGAAGTTTCAGGGACCAGGACTTGTGACTGATGGGGAATGAGGGGGTGGTCTCATGGGTCTGCGCCCTAACTCTGTGGAATCTGACGTTGTCTTTGGTAAATTACATTGGAACTGAATTGAAGGACACCCAGCTGATGTCCACTGCTTGGCGCATGGAGACAATCCTCCAAATATTTCATCACATAGGTCTTCTGTGTTGGTGACCGTTGTTGTGGCACGACAGCAAAGAAAAAACAAAACACAGTTTGAAAAAAGGTTTTCCTGCTAGTCATGGTGGCTCACGCTTGTAATCCCAGCACTTTGGGAGGCCACGGCAGGTGGATCATTTGAGGTCAGGAGTTCAAGACCATCCTGGCCAAAATGGTAAAACCCCATCTCTATTAAAAATACAAAAATTAGCTGGGCATGGTGGCAGACACTTGTAATCCCAGCTATGTGGAAGGTTGAGGCAGGAGAACTGCTTGAACCCAGGAGGCAGAGGTTGTAGTAAGCTGAGATTGCTCCACTGAACTCTAGCCTGGGTGAGGGTAAGACTCTGTCTCAGGGAAGAAAAAAAACATTAGCCAGGCGTTGGCGATGCATACCTATAGTCCCAGCTACCCAGGAGGCCATTGCCGTGCCACATGGTGCCATTGTACTCCAGCCTGGGCAACAGAGCAAGACTCTATTTAAAAAAAAAAAAGGGGGGGTGGCATGAGGCAAGGGATGGGAGAACAGGTCCACCCCAGGGGCCATGCTATAGCCCTGAGTCCTCCCAAGCGTGGCAGCAGTGACCTCATTCTGGCAGACCCAGTAACTCATCAGTTTAAGTGGATAGAAAACAGTACTTTAATCCCACACTTTGGGTGGTGGTGAAGGGCAGCTCACTTCCCTCCAATTCCCCCGAGGCCAGACTCACCAGCAGGCCGTGGGGCCTCCTCCCAGGCCTGGGATACCCTGTGATGCTTGTCCAACTCCAGGCCCTGGAAACCTGCCCTGGCCTGGAGTTAGCAGAAAGCAAGGCCCAGGGGTGGCGAATCTATCCCCAAGAGCCAGCCACCCACCGGGGGTAATATTTGAGGAAGATCTTCTTGGCCAGGTCCACAGTGTCTCCTCGCGGCTGGCTGGGATACCTCTGCTTGCTGAGGACAAAGGCCTGCTCCAGTTGGAAGACATTTTTGTCAAACTGGTGCTGTTGGAAAGGGATGCCCTGGGCCACACTGGCAGCCAGCGCCTCCAGGAAGAGGCGCCAGCGAGGGGCGTAGTAGTGGGCCACCAGCCCCGCCAGCTGCTTGTTGGCGTAGTCCAGGATGTTGCCTTCTGGCCCCCATAGGGTCAGCTGATAGCGGCTGTTCTGCTCATAGAAATCAGCCTCGGCCTCACTGACCGCCACAGCTCTGGCCTGTTCCAGCCAGCTGCCCAGCAAGAAGTGGCTGTCACTAGCCAGTACCTCATCCAGCGCCGGCAGCAGCTCATAGGCCAGAATGCCTCCAGCCCTCAATAGGGAACCCAGCTCCTTGCTCAGGTAGGCGCTCCTCGCCTCCTCGTAGTACAAGCTGACCAGCTCCTGCACTGCCTGCCGAGTGACGTCCAGCAGGTCGTAGCGGAAGGTGGGGCTGGCAGCCAGGGTGGCAGCAGCTGAGAGCAGCAGCCGCCAAGACTCAAACACATCAGATCGGTTGTACCAGATGGTGGTATTCATCTGTAGGGATGGCCGCCTGACCAGCGGGCTGTGATTGTGGCCCCTGCAGGCCTCCCCGGAGCAATTGTACACACTCCTGAGTAGGAGCCTCCACGCTGCCCCTGTGTCCGGGTGGGAGACCCCATACCGCTGGGCAGCAAAGCTGGTCACCCAGGCCGCCAAATCTGGCACTGGGTCCTTTCGCCAGCTCAGCTCAGCCATGAGGGAATAGACCACTTCGTTCTGGCTGATGCCCTCGGGGGCCATGCCGGTGCCTACCATGGTGGAGTTGGGGAAGAGGCGGGCAGCTTCTGGGCCTCGGTTCACGGCCTCCAGGGCTCCAAACAGACCATGGTTGCCCCCGAAGTTGTGCAGCATGCACCAGATGAAGGGCTGGCCCTGGAAGGAGGCGGTGCGGATGTATACAGGCTGACTCTCAGCAAACAGGTCCAGAACCAGCAGGCGGCCACGGGGCACAGCTCCCAGCACAGCCCTGACCTGGGCAGGCCCCCAGAACTGGGGCTGGTGCTGGAAGAGCCAGCCTTGGAGCAGCCACACAGCATCAGTATCCACTGTGGTCAGGAGGTGGGGGGACACAGAAGAGGAGTGATGAGAGGAAAGGGGCCAGCGAATGTTCACCCCACTCTATGGACGACTCTGTCTATACCGGGGCATGCCTTTGCACGAGCCCCACCAGCGGGACGCTCCATCCCACATATGCTGCCCCATCCCCATCTCTTCCCCCTGAAAATTCTGGGACAGGGTTCAGCAAGCTTCAGGGAACATCAGAGTTACCCAGAGAGCTCCTTCCTTCCCTCCTTCCTTCCCTCCTTCCCTCCTTCCCTCCTTCCCTCCTTCCCTCCTTCCCTCCTTCCCTCCCTCCCTCCCTCCCTCCCTCCCTCCCTCCCTCCCTCCCTCCTTCCCTCCTTCCTTCCTTCCTTCCTTCCGAGATGGAGCCTTGCTCTGTAGCCTAGGTTGGAGTGCAATGGTGTGACCTCAGCTCACTGCAATCTCTGCCTCCCAGGTCTGGGTTAAACAATTCTCCTGCCTCAGCTCTGAGTAGCTGGGATTACAGGTGCTCATGACCACGCCCAGGTAATTATTGTATTTTTAGTAGAGACAGGGTTTCGCCATGTTGGCCAAACTGGCCTTGAACTCCTGACCTCGTGATCTGCCCACCTCAGCCTCCCAAAATGCTGAGATTACAGGCGTGAGCCACTGTGCCTAACCTAATTTTTAATTTTTTTTAGATGGACTTTTGCTCTTGTTGCCCAGGCTGCAGTGCAATGGCGTGATCTCTACTCACTGCAAACTCTACCTCCCAGGTTCAGGGGATTCTCCTGCCTCAGCCTCCAGACTAGCTGGGATTACAGGCATGTGCCACCATGCCTGGCTAATTTTGTATTTTTAGTAGAGACGGGGTTACTCCATGTTGGTCAGGCTGGTCTCAAACTCCCGACGTCAGGTGTTCTATCCACCTCGGCCACCCAAAATACTGGAATTACAGGCATGAGCCACCGCATCTGGCCCAGGGCTCCTTAAAACATGGAGCTTTCTGGCCGGGCGCAGTGGCTCACGTCTGTAATCCCAGCACTTTGGGAGGCCAAGATGGGCAGATCATCTGAGGTCAGGAGTTTGAGACCAGCCTGGCCAACATGGTGAAACCCCATCTCTACTGAAAATACAAAAATTAGCCGGGTATGGTGGCACGTGCCTGTAATCCCAGCTACTTGGGGGGCTGAGGCAGGAGAATCGCTTGAACCCGGGAGGCGGAGGTTGTGAAGAGCCAAGATGGCGCCACTGCACTCCAGCCTGGGTGACAGAGCGAGACTGTCTCAAAAACAAAACAAAACAAAACAAAATGGAGCTTCTGCTTCAGGTCTGGGGAAGGGCCCGAGAATTTGCAGTCTCACAGCTCGGGGTGCTGCTGCTGCTGGTTTTGGGTCACACCTGGAGCAGCGCTGCTCAAGAAAGGCTGAGCTGGTCTGTTCCCTTCCTGGCCAACACAGAGGCCTCACCACTAACTCATTCCTGACTTGGGCGCCCTCTGCTCCTCCTTGTAAGTGGCAGAAGCAGCCCTGGCCTCACGGTTTTGTAGCAGGATGGGCACTTACCGCCTTGAGGCATATCCGCTCACCTCCTGCCGGCAGTGCCGACCTCAGCGACCACGCGAAGACCAAACAAAACCCTTGTTCCTAGCTAGACCTTAGTGGCCTTCACTCTGGGCCAGGCGTTAGTCTACCTATGAGGTAGTCCCATTTTACAGGGGAAGCAACTGAGACACTGGGAGGGAGGTCATGAGTCATAAGCCACACGTCCAGCAAACAAGAGTGCCATGTGTGACCCAGGTTGTTGGCCTCCAGAGCTCACCTCTCAACCACAGTGGGATTCACTGAGACGACGCGTACGTACAAGCACTCAGTAAACTGTAAAGTGCTGTGTGTTACGGCGAGGCATTATTCCAGTCCCTCTGCCCAACCCCTACTGACATCTGCTACCCCCTTCTTTACGAGGGTCTGGGAGGCTCTCCCTCCTCCCGCAGGCACTGTACCTGCAATCATGGCCTCATAGACGGCAGCAGTGGCTGCAGCAAGGTAGGAGGGCTCCGAGGAGGGCGGCTGCATCTCGTTGAAAGTGTCGGCCCCATAGATATGATCCGTGCCAAACTCTTTAGTCAGCTCTCGCAGGAAGAGGCTCCCGAGGATGGGGAATATGGGGTCTTCTGGAGCCAGAAGAAAGGAGCAGGAGTAGGAGCAGTTGAAGTGTCCCCAACTGCCCATCTGGGTGACACTGACCCGAGGGAACACCCTAGTGGGGAGCAAAAGCTCAGACATTTCAGGGAAGCGCCATTGTATTCATCTTGGCTCATGACCCTCACCAGCCTCACCAACTCATCCACAGCTCCCAGGGCACACCTGGTTTCTCTCATCTCTATGGCTTTGTACAGGCTGTGCTCTCTGCATAGCCCTTTCCTCTCCCTCCCTGGCCACCTTCTCTGGAAAACTTTCACTATCTCTCCCCTTCCTATGGCCTGAATCAGGTAACACTCCTCTTTCATTTCTTTTTCTCTCTCTCCCCTTCCCTCCTTCCCTTTTTTCCTTCCTTCTTTCCGTTCTTCCTCTCTCTCCCTCCCTCCTTCCGTCCTTTTTCTTTCTTTTTTTAAATTATAGTTGAAGTCCTCAGATACATGTGCAGAATGTGCAGGTTTGGTGCATAGGTATACATGTGCCATGGTGATTTGCTGCACCCATCATCCCATCATCTAACTTTTAAGCCCCATATGCATTTGGTATTTGTTCTAATGTTCTCCCTCTCCTCAGCCCCCACCCCATGACAGGCCCTGGTGTGTGATGTTCCCCTCCCTGTGTCCATGTGTTCTCATTGTTCAATGCCCACTTATGAGAACATGCAGTGTTTAATTTTCTTTTAATTAGGAGTCTTGCTCTGTCACCCAGCCTAGAGTCAGTGGCACAATCTCAGCTCATTGCAACCTCTGCCCCTTGGCTTCAAGTGATTCTCCTGCCTCAGCCTCCCAAGTAGCTGGGATTACAGGCACCTACCACCAAGCCCAACTAATTTTTGTATTTTTAGTAGAGATAAGGTTTCACCATGTTGGCCAGGCTGGTCTTGAACGCCTGACCTCAAATGATCCACTGCCTCAGCCTCCCAAAGTGCTAGGATTCCAGGTGTGAGCCACTGTGCCCAGCCAAGCAATGCTCCTTTTTCAAGACTGGGCTCTGCCCTGGGCCCTTCCTGCCCCTCTCCTGGCTGAGGAGATGGGAACCCACATATATTCCTGTCTCTGACACCCCATTGTACCCCTCAGCCAACATCTCTCTCCTATTGGGGGTAACACTTAGGCACAGTTCTTGCCGCCTCCCAGGGCCCAGCACAGAGCCAGTTCTGGCAGCCCCAAACAGCTGGAGAAAGTTCAGTGAATGAACGAGTGAGTTTCCTGCCACCTGATGATGGCAGCGAATAGGCAGGCAGGGAGGTCAGTGGCAGGCATGAAGTCCTGTGAGAGTGTGGGAGCCAGACACGGGTAGGTGCAAAGGAGGTCATGGGGGACACCAGCAAGACTTCCTGAAGGAGGGGAGGTCTCAGGTGGGCCTTGAAGACTTTTCCCAATGACATGAGAGAGGATGGCTGGGTAGCACAGAGGAGCAGGAGGGACAGGGAACACTGGAGCCCCCACTGCTGCCACTCATAAGGACTGTTTTATTTTTTTTAACGGAGCCTCTATTGCCCAGGCTGGAATGTAGTGGCGTGATCTTGGCTCACTGCAATCCCTGCCTCCTGGGTTCAAGCAATTCTTCTGCCTCAGCCTCCTGAGTAGCTGGGATTACAGGCATGTACCACCACACCCAGCTAATTTTGGTATTTTTGATAGGGACGGGTTTTCACTATGTTGGCCAGGCTGGTCTTGAACTCCTGACCTTGTGATCTACCCGCCTCGGCCTACCAAAGTGCTGGGATTACAGGTGTGAGCCACTGTGCCCTGCAGGGCTGCCATGTGCTAGCACTCTGTGCAACGTCAACAGATAGATCAAGAGATAATTATAAACCCTACAGCAAAGTAAGGGAGAGATCCCATTTTACAAGTAAGGAAACTGAGGCACAGAGTAGTCATGTCATCTGCCCAAAGTCACACAGCTACTTAGCAGCAGAGCCAGAAATTAAACCCAGGCTTACATCCAGAGCTTAAGTTTGTTTGTTTCTTTTTTTTTTTTTGAGTTGGAGTTTCACTCTTGTTGCCCAGGCTTGAGTGCATTGGCACGTTCTCGACTCACTGCAACATCTGCCTCCCGGGTTCAAGCAATTCTTTTGCCTCAGCCTCCCGAGTAGCTGGGATTACAGGTGCACGCCACCACACCCGGCTAACTTTTATATTTTTAGTAGAGATGGGGTTTCGCCATGTTTGCCAGGCTGGGTCTCAAACTCCTGACCTCAGGTGATCCACCCATCTCAGCCTCCCAAAGTGCTGGGATTACAGGCATGAGCCACCATGCCTGGCCCAGAGCTTAAGTTTTTAAGTCCTGTTCTTAAGTCATGTTCTAGAGGGGAATAAAATGTCCTCTCTAAGTGGAGGGGGCGAGGGGAACCTCACCTGGTGATAGCCTTGGGAACATGCCCCGAGAACGCAGGTAGCACTGGAATCATGCCGAAGGAGCGCATCCGGTCCAGGATCCGGTGCTGGAGGAATGGAAGGGACGGTGGTGAGCATGGCCACTGCTGTCCTAAGGGGTAGCCCTCATCACCCAGGACACATGGAGTCCCCCTGGCTCAGTGAAGGGCCCCAGGGCCAGCTAAATACCACCCTCCCTGGGCCTGGGACCATCTGTCACCGATTCCACCCCTTCCCTTTTCCGTCCTTTCACCTGCAGGTAAAGCTGCTTGATGTGCCAGGCATGGGGCAAGGGGCCATCCCAGGTATGCAGATTGCCCATACGCCCCCAGGCCAGGAAGGCAGGACCAGTAAAGAACTCATCGATCTCTGCCTGGGTCAGGCCCAAAGCCAGATACACCTGAGGAGGAAAGGGATTCCCACACATGGAAATATATTCATCTGCATCCATTGATTCATTCATTCAACAACCATTCACTCATTGCGTCTCTGTGCTGGGCGCTAAGGCTACTGAGACAAAATCTGACCCCTGCCAGCAAGGAGCCCACAGCCCAGGGAAAGAGACCTGTGAGTAGGTGAGTTCACTGTGCCACCTTTGTCGCACAGGTGAGGAGATGGGGCACAAAGGGGCTTTCCTCCAAGAGGAAGTCCTTAGAAGGCTTCATGGAGCCAGGGGGCCAGATGGAAGGGTAGGACGGCTGTGTGAAGAGCTTAAGCAGTGCCTGGAGCAGCTGGTGTAAAACAGAGGCTTCCAGGGAGGCAGATCTAGTGCTGCCCCTGAGTTGGATCCAAGGGACCCGGTGATTAGCCACATAGGGGAGATGAGGGGAAGGAGCCCCACTTGTCAAACTGGAAGCCTCAGTTTTTAGGAGGCTGGAGCCATGGTGCAAGCTGTAAGCACTTCTGGAGACACACTGTGCCCGTGCTGAGGGGCACGTGAAGGCACCTAGGGAGGCTCCTGCCAGGGCAGGAGGGTGGGGAGGGGACAGTGGGCACGCACCCGCTGCCAGATGGCCTCCTGGCCACTCCAGGCCAGCGCCAAGTTGATCCCATTCAGCACCATCCAGTCTATCTCTCGCTCCCAGCGGGCCCAGTCCCACCACACGAAGGAGTAGCTTTGCGTGCACACATTCTGGTAATAGCGGTACCTGCGGGCAGTGTGATGAGCTGAGGAGCATCCCACTCTGGAGGGTCCACGGCCCTGGGACAACTCTCCTATCCCCCACTTGGAGGTGAGGAGAGGGGCTCCAAATACGGCCCTACTGCTTCAGGCTGGGGCCCACCCCAGGTGGAGCTGGGACCAGGTACCTGGGCTGGGCTTCTGAGGCACTCGCCCCTGTACTACCCCAGGGCCCTCGAGCCTGGAAGGTATTTGGGTGGCATATTCCACTTTTATGCCACACTGCCAGAGCCCCTCCTCTGTACGGTGTTTTCCTGGAACAGGGGTCCCAACCCCCAGTCTAACAGGTGGGCAGGGGGAGGACAGTTGTGTGAACAGATCACTCCATAGTGTGGCAGGAGCTGCAACACAGGCCTGTGGGTAGGTGGGGGAGGGACGTCCTTCCTCAGTCCGCAGGTTCAGAGGTGTGGGAGGAAGGGAAGAAAATTCACACATCACCAATTTTGCACCACAAATTCTACGCCCATCATCGTGCAAATCCTCACAATAACACTGCACGGTAAGCGTCTTCTTTCCGTTTTGCAGGTGGGCCCGCCGAGGCTCTGAGAGGCAGAGTGGCTGGCTCAAGGTCACACAGCTGCTGGGGGCGGCGATGCTGGGCCTTCCTGCCAGCGCTCCCCACTCAGCCTCCCGGTTGCGGTGGCAGCGGCTCAGCGAGGGGGTGGGCGCCTCGGGCGGACGCGGGGGAGCTGCGGGGCGGTACCTGTTAGGCGTGGCCTCGGTCAACTCCCCAGGCACGGCGGGCAGTGGCCGCGGCAGGCGCAGCTGAGAGCCAGACCAGGCCACGTGGCAGCCACAGAAGTCGCGCAGGTAGCGGTGCAGCCCCGCGGCGGCCGCCACGCCCGTGGAGCCGCGCACTCGCACCCGCGCCGCGCCGCCGCCGCTCAGGCTGTAGGTGTCCAAGCCCGGCTCGGCCGCCAGAGCGCGCTCCACTGACACCGAGAAGTTTGCCGCGGGGCCGGGCCCCAGCAGCCGGGCCACGAGCGCCCGCACGGCGACCGCCTCCCCGGCCTCGTCGCCTGCTGCGCCCCCGGCCCCAGCCAGGAGCAGGATCCCTACCGCCACGGCCACCACTTCCATGGCCTCAGCCGGGCGGGGGCTCGTGACTACCAGGGGGCGGAGCGGCCCCCGTCCAATCAGCTGCGGGCCTCCGGCCACGTGGACCCGAAGGCCAAGCCCGGCCTCCGGGCCGGGAGTATCGGCTTCCGGGTCCCAGGCTGAGCCCTTGAGGGTGTCTAGTGACCGCACGCGGTGGGGAGTGCGTGATCCAGGCAACCTGAAGCGTCCAGAGCCGAAAGGGACCCGCTGGCCCTCACAGAACGCCTTTAGATAAAACGCGCTTTCACACGCAAATAACTTCCATCCATCCAACAGTCTAATAACTACACTTTAGAGTTTATTTTCCATCAGGTACTGCCGTTGCTACTGCCCTACGGATGAACGAACGAGATAGACGGTCCCTACCGTCCCTGTCAGGGGATGACCTAGAAACCAAAGGATCTCCATCACAGTTGTGATGCTGCCAAGAAGTGCAAGGGTAAGGCTTCCAAAGGAAGTGAATTTTAATCTGAAACTCAAGGATGAATAGGAATTGGCTAGAAGAGGGAGAGGAAGAGCCTTCCAGACAGAAGAGATGCATCTATGAAGGCCCTGGGAGGGCAGAGAGCTTGCAGATTTGAGGAACTAACGGGCTAGGAAGTTGGAGGAGGGAACGGGGCCATGTGAGCCCAGGCCGGCCATGGAGCAGGGCTGGTAGGCACGTTAAGGGCTGTCCATTGGCAGCAGCAGCAACATGACAGGAGCTGTCATTTTGTCAGAAGTTTCCAACCAAAGTGAGTCCATTTTGAACAGCGGCTGGGTAAAATGAGGCTGAGACCTGCTGGGTTGCATTCCCAGGAGGTTAGGCCTTCTTCGTCACAGGATGAGGCGGGAGCTCAGACAAGATACAAAGTCACAAGACCCCGCTGATAGAATGCAGCGGCCGGGCGCGGGGGCTCACGCCCGTAATGCCAACATTTTGGAAGGCCGAGGCAGGTGGATCACCTGAGGTCAGGAGTTAAAGACCAGCCTGACCAACATGGAGAAACCCGGTCTCAGCTAAAAATACAAAATTAGCCAGGCATGGTGGCACATGCCTGTAGTCCTGGCTACTCTGGAGGCTGAGGCTGGAGAATCACTTGAACCCTGGAGGCAGAGGTTGCGGTGAGCACAGATTGCACCATTGCATGTAGTCTGGGCAACAAGAGCAAAACTCAGTCTTAAAAAACAAAACAAAACCAAAGATGCAGCAAAGAAACCAGTCAAAACCTGCTAAACCCAAGAGAGTCAGGAAGGTGACCTCTGGTTGTCCTCACTCACAGCTCATTATACGCTAATTATGATGCATTAAACATGCTAAAGACACTCCCAGCAGTGCCAGGCAGCTTACAAATGCCATGGCAATGTCCAGAAGTTTCCCTATATGGTCCAAAAGTGGAGGGACCCTCAGTTGGGGGGGAGAATCCCTGCCCCTTTTCTGGAAAACTCATGGATGACCCACCCCTTGTTTATCATATACTCAGGGAACAACCATAAAAATACCCAACCAGCAGTCCATACCGCTGCTCTGCTCATGGAGTTACCATTCTTTTGTTTCTTTACTTCTCTAATAAACTTGCTTTCACTTTATGAACTCGCCCCGAATTCTTTCTTGCTTGAGATCCAACAACACTCTTGCCGGGTGACGTGTCAGAGCTCTTGCACGGAGAAGTGGTCAACTCAAGGGTTGGTAAAAATAATTTACCACTGGTTGGGTGTAATCCCTAGCACTTTGGGAGGCTGTAATCCTAGCACTTTGGGAGGCTGAGGCGTGTGGATCACCTCACCTGATGTCAGGAGTTGGAGACCAGCCTGGCTAACATGGTGAAACCCTGTCTCTACTAAAAATACAAAAATTAGCTGGGCCTGGTGGGGTACCCCTGTAATCCCAGCCACTCAGGAAGCTGAGGCAGGAGAATTGCTTGAACCCAGGAGACAGAGGTTGCAATGAGCCATTACACTCCAGCCTGGGCAACAAGAGCGAAACTCAGTCTCAAAAAAAAAAAAAAAAAAAAGATGGCTGGGCAAGGTGGCTCACGCCTATAATTCCAGCACTTTGGGAGGCCAAGACGGGTGGATCACGAGGTCAAGAGATCGAGACCATCCTGGTCAACAAGGTGAAACCCCGTCTCTACTAAAAATACAAAAATTAGCTGGGCATGGTGGTGCGCCCTGTAGTCCCACCTACTCGGGAGGCTGAGGCAGGAGAATTGCTTGAACCCAGGAGGCGGAGGTTGCAGTGAGCCAAGATTGTGCCATTGCACTCCAGTCTGGGTAACAACAGCAAAACTCCGTCTCAAAAAAAAAAAAAGGAGCATATATGGACCTTAAGGCGGAGACTTAGGGTTGTAAAATGAGTTTCAGCATGGCATAAATGCATAGAAACTTTACGTTGTGAGGGCAGAGCCCTCAGGAATGGGATTGGTGCCTTTATAAGGGAGGCCAAAGAGAAGCCCCTACCCACTTCTACCTTGTGAAACCACAGTGAGAAGGCACAGCTTATTAAGCAGGAAATGAGCCCTCACCAGACACTGATTCTGTAAGCACCTTGATCTTGGACTTCCTAGCCTCCAGAACTGTGAGAAATAAAGTGTTTTTTGTATTTAAAAATAAATGTATAGAAATTTTAGTTATTTATAAATGTTAAAAGAGGCCTGGAATCAGATGCTGACTTTAAATACCAGGGAAGTTTGATTTTTTTTTTCTTTTGAGAGTCTCCCTCTGTCACCCAAGCTGGAGTGCAGTGGCCTGATCTCAGCTCACTGCAACCTCTGCCTCCGGGTTCAAGCAATTCTTCTGTCTCAGCCTCTTGAATACCTGGGATTACAGGCACGCACCATCACACCTGGCTAATTTTTGTAGGGACGGGGGTTTCATCCTGTTGGCCAGGCTGGTCTCGAACTTTTTACCTCAAGTGATCCACCTGCCTTGGCCTCCCAAAGTGTTGGGATTACAGGTGTGAGCCACCATGCCAGGCCTTGATTATTTCTAAATTCCCCAGACAAGGAGTTTTGCCTCCCAATGGCCTGATGGTCAACAGGTGTGGTCTTTGCACCTTAGATTGCTCCTTATCTAAATTGCTCAGATAAGAACTTTTTGTTTGGGGAGGGTGTGATTTTTGCTCTCCTCACATTTGGGTCTGGACTAGGACTCCCTTCCAGTAACAATTTTACAGATTGGGAAACAGAGCCAGAGGAAGGAAGTGACTTGGGCAAGATTAGTAACTAGTTAGCAAGGAGAGCAGCTCTGTGCTATATCCGGGAACTCTTAACTCCCAGAGCAGGGTTCTTGCTGCTCTGCCTCAGACAATGCAATTTATCGGGTTGCCTATCTGATCAGGGAGTGCTTGAGTAAGGCTGCTTGGGCGCTGGGAGAGTCTTTAGAAGGACTGCACTAGGTGTGTTAGATGTGATGGCTCACACCTGTAATCACAGCACTTAGGGAGGCGGAGGCAGGTGGAGCGCTTGAGTCTAGGTGATCAAGACCACGAAAAAACCCCGTCTGGCCGGGCGTGGTGGCTCACGCCTGTAATCCAAGCACTTTGGAGGCCAAGGTGGGCAGATCACCTGAGGTTGGGAGTTCAAGACCAGCCTGACCAACATGGTGAAACCCCATCTTAAAAACAAACAAACAGGGCAGGGCGCAGTGGCTCACGCCTGTAATCCCAGCACTTTGAGAGGCAGAGGCGGGTGGATCATGAGGTCAAGAGATCGAGACCATCCTGGTCAACATGGTGAAACCCAGTCTCTACTAAAAATACAAAAAATTAGCTGGGCATGGTGGCGCGTGCCTGTAACCCCAGCTACTCCGGAGGCTGAGGTAGGAGAATTGCCTGAACCCAGGAGGCGGAGGTTGCTGTGAACCGAGATTGCGCCATTGCACTCCAGCCTGGGTAACGGGAGCGAAACTCCGTCTCAAAAAAAAAAAGAACAAAAACAAAAAAACCTATCTCTGCAAAAATTATTTGGGTGCAGTGGCCTGTGTTTGCGGTCCCAGTTATTCAGGAGGCTGAGGCGGGAGGATGGCTTGAGCCCAGAAGTTTGAGGCTGCAGTGAGGCATGATCACACCACCCCACTCCAGGCCAAGCAACAGAGTGAGACCCTGACTCAAAAAAAAAAAAAAAAAAAAAAATCTAGCCCATTGTGGTGGCGCCTGATCATAAAAAGTTGAGGCAGGCAGATCACTTGAGTCTAGGAGTCCAAGACCAGCCTGGGAACATGGCAAAACCCCTTCTCTACAAATAATACCAAGATCAGCCTGGCATGGTGACATGCGCCTGTGATCCCAGCTACTTGGGAGGTTGAGCAGGGAGGATCGCTTGAGCCTGGGAGGTCAAGGCTGCAGTGAGCTCAGATGGCACCACAGCACTCCAGGCCAGGCAACAGAGCAAGAGAACACATTATCATGTTCGTTTGTTTTATTTTAAGGCTCTGTAAACAGTGGTTGTGGGAGAGAGGGGAAGATTCAGGGACACTGAGTGAAATACTTTTTTTTTTTTTTTTTTGCCATGTTAAAGTTTTATTAAGTTTCAATACAAAACATTCCAAAAAGTGAAAAGAGATCTAAATACCCAAGTTCTATGTTCAACTACCAGTTAAACAAGAAAAACATTTTCTGTTATCATTCTGTTTTATTACAACCAGTATAAACCAAAAGAATCAAGATCGGATTCTTTTTCCACACATCTGCTAGGTCAGTAAACTATGAAACAGGTATCTGGTCATTTTAACATTCTCCTTGCTTTGACGTTAATATTCATCCATATCTGGTACCATCTCTATATCCTATACTATCTTTAGGGTATCTAAAGATCTGAAATATTTAGGATATTTCAAGAACCAAAAGGTCCTCACAGAAGCTTTAACCCAAGTAATCCTGAGTATGGAAGACTGGGCTAAGACAACTATGGAAGTGCAACAACCACATAAATTTGGTCATTACCCTTGTGGTCTGTTGATTAGTAGTCGTCTTTCAAATGAGAGTTTAAAATGTTGTACTTACTCTCCCTAGTTGCAAATGTTAAAACAGGACAGTGCCATAATTACAACAAAAAAAATCTTGTAAGTTGAGTTAGTTCCTCTACTCCAACAACTCAAGTCTGTTTCCTTTCAGAACATTATGCTATTGGCTCTAGTCTCCAAAGCAATACACTAAAACTTGTTTCTAAGACTGGGACATAAAGCAGGCTTACAAAACAATACAGCAAACAAAAGCCAGGTGGCCTAATTGTTTCCAGTGTGCTTGCCATCTCAGCATGGTTGTTACTTTCCAGGCATCACTGTTTTATTCTACAACTAAACTGTTTCTGGATAAGCTACCACCAAAAAATGTTTCACTTACTGACAGACACTTCACTA